GAGAGTGCAATTCCAAGTTTATAGTGGAGTAACTATTGGAATTAATAGAATTAATTAATTAATTAAAGTGTTTAATTAATTATTAATTTTTATTGGAGCTCGGGATTATAAGTCCATTAGTCCCCGCGTCGTCCTAATAATTCTACCAGACACAAAAGGCAAAATGGAAATTTTAGAATTAAGGAATTCTAAAATTAAACACTCGAAAATAATTAATTGAGAATTAATTATTATTTAAATAATGTGATTATTTAAATTTGAATTTGAACACATCTAGATTTATCCATTTAAACTTATTTGATAAGTTGTTAAATTTAGAATTCAAATTAATTTAAGTTTGACTTAAATTCGAATTTGAATTTGAAATAAAATTAGACTACAGGATAAATGATGATTTTCTCTTCCTTCCATATCCAGTATTGGCGCCACACACAGGGATAGGAATCCCTAGCATGGCCGGCCACAAGAGATAAGAGAGAGGAGAAATTTTGTTTGAAATTCAAATATGAGATAGAGATTTGATTCCTTCTAGAAATTTGACTTCTACTCTATAAATAAGATATAATGAAAAATTACGCAAGACAATTTTTAACCTAACTTGAAGGGGGCTGGCCGAATTTCCCTTATAGAGAGAAGGAAAAATTTTTCTCCAAAAAATTTCACATTGTGTATGCGTTGGTGTTTGTGGAAATTCGAGTGTTTATTGTAACCCGTTTTGTCTCATGTGTGCCCACACACACGTCTTCGTGGATTCTGGGAATCGACGTGGAAGACATTAGTTTTCTAAACACAAAGTTTTGGAGCAATGATTGTTCGAGATCAAAGAACTCAAGTTATCAACTGAGTCAACCTCCAGGTATTTTTCCTAATTGAGTTCTTAATAAATGAATTAATGAGATTAATTTATTCGTGCATAAATTAATATAATCTATAGAGTATCTCAAAGGTTTTATGAAAATTTTTGTTATACACAATCCGCCTCCCCCCCCCAACACTTTGCATATTAAAGAACATCTAATGGCACAATGACTATGTTCAAGAGTTTTTCTTTCATGGGCATGAGTGGTTTTGGTCCTTCATGTGTTGTTCACTGTTGAACTTTGGAATCTTTTCTTGATGATTCTCATGGTTTAAATCATCGTTTTGGTTCAAACCAATGTTTGTTTGTAAAAAGTAAAATGTGATTTGAACGCAACCCAATGAAAACAATGTTTGATTTAAAAAAAAAGATTTAAGGTTTGAATCATGATGTAATGTTTTAACCCTTATCCTACAGAATGAAACCAACACTCCCTTTAGTTTTGACTAATTTGAACCCCAAGTTCAAACTACATTCAAACCCAAAGATTTATGGTTTGAACCCCAAGTTCAAACATTACAATTTAAAACTCACATAGTTTAAATGTAAAGGTTCAAACTATCTTGATTTGAACTCTCATACTAAATAAATCCTAAATTTTAAGTGGTAGAGAGAAAAGAAGTGTTCAATAACAGTTAGGATTTTTGTTAAGGGGTTTTTTTTGTTTGAAATTTCCCGATTTGTTGTGGGGTACAAGTCAATGAAGTGGTTTTAGAGTCATTTTTGTTCCGAACATATTGAAAAATTTTCATTTATTTTTTTGCTATATCTAGTACTAGTAGATCATTTGGGAATAAACTTGGTGGTTTTTTTTTTCTTTATCTTTTTTTTAGTACCCATATTGAAGAAAGGCTGCATTGTGTTTCTGTTTAAGTTTGAGCCGGCGTGAGCAACCGACTCCGACGGTGAGAGGGGGAGGTTGAGGCGTTGGGAGGTGGAGAATTTGGGGAAGAAGATGAGTAGATGACCATATTATTTTATCTTTTATTTTTATCATATTAAATGTAAACTAAAAATTGGTGGGTAACTTAGTAATTATGTACTTAATACCTCAACCATCACACTTTAATGCACGACACGTGTAATTTCTGTTTGTCAAACTAACTAAAGGGAAAATTTTATTAACAAAATAAGGATCGGGAAGAACGAGTGTTACAAATCAAAGTTCGGGGAACAAAGTGTTATAAGGGTCATAGTTCGAAAGAAATTTTGTAATTAATTCTATAATAAAATAATAGTTTTATTGACATGGTATGCTATTGAAAATTAATTAAATATATTAGTTTCTAATTAAATCAATAAAAGTGATTAAATATTCAAAATAAAAAAAATAAATATAAAATACCAATTTAAAAAATAAAAAATTAAATAAATCAAATATTTTTTACTTTTCATTTAGGAGTAGGTTTCTCAAAAAAAAAAAAAAAAAATTCCTCTTTTCATTTGTTTTACTTTTGAAAAAAAAATTATTGGTTTGTTCAATTTTTGAATTATTTTAAAGTAAAGTATTTTTTATATTTATTTTTTATTATTTTAATATTTAATCACTTTTATTGATTTAATTCGAATTTAATATGTCTAATTAATTTTTTAATGGCATCAACAAATTTGTTATTTTATTATGTTTTCAATAGATTAAGGGGTATTTTTGATATGTTTTCTTAAATTAGAGGGCAATTTTAAATAAGGTAGATACTTGAGGGAAATCTATGAAAATGATTCATTAAACTATTCATCTAATAATTACCACGTCATCAAATCCGTTAATAAAATTAAGAGAAAAGAGTAAAGTTAATAACGTTTCAATGTTCGTGAGGTGTACAGACTAATTTTTAAAGTTCGGGAGACAAAATCACAAAGAGCATAAATTTAATTGCTTCGAAAGTAACAAAGTTAATCTTGAATTGTTAAGTTTTAGAAATGTTGCTCTTGTACTCACTTCCAGTATAACTCAAAATTTTCCAAATAGAAAATAGAGCTATATATGCATTGGAAGAAAATTATCGTCAAGGTGTACGGTTTTATGTTGTTGTTAATCATTCCAACTACAATTAAAGCGCTGGATCCTGGCCCTATTTCCCCTCCTAATTTCCCTCGTACATCGCATGATGGATTAAACAACATATTCATAAAAACATCAAATCTCAAGAATCAAAACTGTATTTTATCTTGCATGACAAATTGATGCTTGATTGGACGCTCTAGAGTTCCTAATGAGTTCGGACAATCCGCATATGATTGCTCCGTGCATTGTCTCCACCATTAAATTTTTGATCCAACGTCTATCTAAACAGAATCTGAGATCTCTATTAAACTTTCTAATTTGATGTGTGATATTGAGATACATATTAAGTATTACAAACATAAAATTGACGAGAGTTTTCAAACTTGATGATCTATTGTGGATAGCCTATTTTTAAAATTATGTTGAAATACGCCCTTCATTATTAAGAATTACTTGACTTGCTTGATGAAGTACTTTTTAAATGCACTTTAAAAGATAAGTTCGGAATATTTAAGGGACGTTTGTTTCATATATTCGTCATTGATTCTGAATCATGATTCATTATTCTTTACAGTATTTTTTTCTCACAAAAAATACACGTAAAATAAGAATAATTCTGAATCCATGAACCAAACATCAAGTCAATGATTCATCATCATGTAATATTTAATCAGGACCAAAAAAAATCTATATATCCAACTTAACACGGCATTGAATCGTTTGTTTCATTATATATATATATATATATATATATATATATATAATATCAAATATTCGGTCGTGCAATGACGAAGAAGCTCCTTCCTTGGGTTGTGTTAACTACTGAAGAGTTAGGACGTACATCTTACAAGCATGGGACTCTATTTTTGCCGAGAGTTTCTCCTTTACTGCCGATTGAGTCCAATGCTGCGTATATAAAATTCAGATAATTGTTAAGGTTTTTTTTTTTTTTTTTTTTTTTTTTTAACTTAGTTCAGAATTAAAAGTATAATAGATAATTGCATGGTTGTTATTTCTCACCGTCCATAAATCGTGGGCATTGACCACATTAGTTGGGTTAAGGCCTATGTCTGACCAATAAGCTGTGAGTGTAGCAGTTGAAGGACTTCTGTTCCACAGCACTACAGCCTTCCTGTTGTTACTGAGTGGGCCAGCCCAAACCTGCATTTTTCTTTTACAATTTGTTATCATCCTGATTAATTTATAAGCTACCCTCTCGTGTCAATTTACTTAAAAGGGTAATTCTATATCATATATTGGCTGTGTTTAGAATTAATATCATTTTTTATTTTTCATATTTTTTGAGAAAGAAAAAATGAAAAATATTTTTAAAACGGTATTTGGCACAATAAAGACAAAAAATAAAAATGAAAACGATTTTTTAGTTTAGTGTAAAATGAGAGAGAAATGAAAAATAACTTTTAGTCATTTTTTATTTTTTGTTTTCATTTTCTCCTCTTTCGAGGAGAGAGAGAGAGACATTAATGAGTTTTTTTATACTGAAAATAATCTCTTGATGAAACTACCAAACACATTTTTAAAAACGATTTTCTGTCTGATATTGAAAACGTTTTCATTTTCATTTTCATATAAAAAACAAAATCATTTTGAAATGAATTCCAAACACGTTCATTGTCACTCCAAAGTGGTTTTTTTTTTCTTTTTTTTCTGTCTTTTCTTTTCTTTTATTTTTTGAGGTAACTATAAATTTTTATATTTTAATGCATGTGCAACCAATTACATTATTTATATGACATGGACCGTAGCTTAATCAAGTTTAAATAGAGAACTAGCTAGTGCGAGATTTTATTTTTATTTTTATTTTATTTTTTGGTTGAGAAAACAAACTATCTATATTAGTTAATCGAACCATTACTACATACAACAAATACTCTTGAAACATGCCTAAAACCTAGTCCCTCAGGAATTTCTTAAAGAAAGACATCTAAAATCACACAATCGATTTCTTATGTCAGAAGATCATACTGAGTTTGGTGTTAATGTTGATAATTAAATCATTGGTGCCTCAGGAATTTTGGCATGTTATTAGTGATAAAAATGAAACTAATTAGGAGAAATAACAACGACAATGAAGTACAGATAAATGTAGGTAATAAGAAAACTGACCTCCAAGTCGCCATCTTTTTTAACCTTTTTCCCTTGTACTCCAAGTTTGTCTGCCCATAAGAAATTAATCATATCCTCATTATAATTCAAAAGAAAAAGAAAATAAAAACAAAAAACAAAACAAAAAGAAAGGAAACGCCCACACTCACATACAAATGTTGCCCATACCTTGATTAACAGCGATAACATCCGTGTTGGTAAGCAAACTGAATGTTATATTATCCATTGCTCGAATATCACATCCAATCAACAAAGGAGCCTACGTATAAGTTATGTTAGGACCGGCAATATAGGTCACGACACGACAACATGATTCGAAAACGACACGAATTTCGCAGATTATGGTTGAGAAAAAAGAAATTCAGGTCAGAATTGGATCGACCTGAAATTGACACGAAAAACACGAATCAATTTCAAGTTTAATCCGCCTAACCTGAATACGATACAAAACTCGTAAAAAAGAAATGAAACGCTATTAATAGACAAGCATTTTTAGATGATGAAAGATGCGATTTTACAGTACTGTTACTCTTTGAGTTTGCTCTCAAGTCTCTAATTGATATAATTTTGTTATTACAACAACATAAAATTATAAAATTAATCTTGAAGATATGAACCTAGCTAGTTTTCTTAGTAATGTTGCAATATTACTTATTAATGTTCTAAATACCTTAGATAATGCCCAAATGCTAAAATGTGCACGATACTCCTCTATCGTCATTCCTCCGTTTCCGACTTCAAGCATATCAGGATCTGCGTTAACAACCACTAACAATTAATTGGGGGATATAATTTAAGCATTATATTTTTAACTTTGTTTTGATTTTTATTTTCTTTCCTTTTTTTTAAATAGCGACTCTAAATTCATGGAACTTAAAAACCATAAAATAAAGATAATTTTTTGCTGTTAGGGATAATGATAAATTTTTATAATGCGGGAATTCACTCCAAGTTTTTAAAACTGCTGAGATTAGTAAAAATATTAGTTTTGTGAAAAAATTGTTTAAACTACAAAAACAGAAGCGGTGCATCAATGTTAACGACAATAATCTATGGAGTATTTAACTAAAATCAAATTTTCAAAACAGTTGGAGTTGATTATCAAAAAGAAAAACAAAAAACAAAAACTAACAGTGGGGAGTTGATTATCCTAAAATATTGGAAAATTTTGAAAGTCAACGTTGTTTTTTTTGTATGATCTTAGTGAACCATCAATTCCTTTTTTTTTTTTTTTTTTTTTTCAATTCATACGGGTCGGATATTTTTACATAATTCATATCCTGTCGTAGAATTATCAAAAAAAAAAAAACCCTAATTCTTATCCCCACACCACACCCTTTCCACTTCACCCGCCTCACGCCGACCCCCTAAACTCCGATTGTCGTAGTTGCCACACCCTCCCGTCGTCGGAACAATAAGATCTTCGATGATCTCGTCATTCCTACATTCTTTGCCACCATTGATTTTTTTTCCCCTCTTGAGTGCTGAAGTTAATCTAATTGTTAGATCGTACTCATGGTCTTGAGGATATTGCACGTGCTATTAAATATTAAAAAAAAATTGAGCGTTGACTAAGTCAAACTATACGGATTTAGAATTATAATTCAAAATTATTCTCGATTTACGTGTGTTTTTTTGAGAAAAAATACTGTAATGAACTACAAACTATGATTCGAATCATGACACGAATATTCATACTAAACACTATACACTATAAACTGATGGTATATATTTATATTTATAGTAATAAAAAAGGCAGTTTATCCTCTCTAAATAACCTTAAAATACTAGTTATAGAAAAGATAAATCAAAGAAATTTCAGGCATAACATTGCCGTTACGGAAAGCTAAAATAAAATATTCTTATGAGGAAGGCATAGTGATAGAATTAGAGCATAAAGGGTTATAATTAAATTACCATTCCATCCTCCAGGTGCAGCATAAGATGCCCATTTGTCGTTTTCATCCGCACGAGACGTCATACTATACTGCCCAAATACTCGTCTTAAGATTTTTGTACAACAAAATAAAAATAAGAGTTTCTCTCTCTTGTTTTACGCCTACGTTTTCTTTAATTAAAAATTATTCGAGGAGTATTTAGATTAAATTAGAAAGTCATTTAAGATTAACAAAACTAAATTAATAATGCAATAATGAATCTATGATCAATGACGGATTTAGAAATGTATTTCAGTAAAGAAACTTGATAACATTTTAAATTAATAATATGATAGAAGTAAAAAACGAAAACATTACATACTAATGCTTATTTAGATACTCTAATTATTGTAATTATTGTTTAAATTATCCTTTGGAATATTATAGTCCACAAACTATTTATGATATTATTGTTGTAAGGATTTAAATAAATGTTTGATGATAATTCAAATTTAATTGCGTCAATTATGTAAGGAAAAACATGAAAATAGTAAGCATGCGCATGAGAAATAAATATCCCAATCAAAAAAATGAATTAAACATAAATGAATATTTCTACATCTCATTCTGACAACCATTACTTATTGAAACTAATAAATTTTAGAAAGAAAAAAGTACATGAATAAAAAAAAGATATAATAGGAAATGAAGCTTATAGAAAATTAAAGATCTGAGATAGAAAAATATAGTATGAATAATGAAATCAAGTCAGGGAATGCAAAACTTCGTGAAAATAAAAATATAACCAATTGGAAATAATAAAGCTTAAGTAGGAGAATTTTGGGGTAAGATGAGAATATCTTGAAAATATGGAGGTTACACTTAAATTTTTTTTTTTAAAAATGAGTGGGGCACTTGAGAGGCATTTAAGATTTTTAATTTTTAAGTTGAACCCTAAATTTTTAATTTTAACATTTAAAATTTAAAATTTTGACAATAGTAGGCAACGTTCAGTTGAGGACGAATGTCAATTAGTGGATAGATAGAGACTCAGCCGAATATCAAAGTCAAAGAGTTGAAGACCAATCGAAAGATTAGGTGCATTTGTGCAAAAAATATTTTATAAATAAGCACGGATGGAAACATATTGAAAATTTATCAATTTATGTATATATTTATATATACACGAAAATATTATTTTTTAAAACAAAACTCATATAATTTGCAGGTTAGATATATAGATAGTGATACCTTTCCCAGTTGTCAACAATATCCCCTGTTGTTCTCCAACTATTCCCAATTTTGGGAGCCCAAGTCGCCGGGTCCTCCTGCCCCCTTTCAGTAGTAAGAAACAATATGGCTTAAAAGTATAGTACTTAGCGTTGCCGTTGCATCAATTACTCAGAAATGGTAATCTTGTAATTAGCCAGCAGACTTACAGCGAAAAAAAAAAAAAAAGAAAAAATACTGATAAAGCCCATATATTACCAATATATATCAACCAATACAAAGGAAATTTGACTCACCATTCGCATAAGGAAAAATAGATGAGCCTTCCAGAATTCAACAAAGCTTTACTCATTACGGGGTACCTATAAACGTTTTTGTTTTTGGTTTTTTTTTTTTTTGCAATAAGTTTATACGAAAATCGAACACAGTAAGCATAAACTTAAAAGAGGAAAATTAAAGTACGAATAAACAAAGAGAAAATAAAGTACGAATAAACACAGTTAGCATTAATTTTTCATTTTTTTATTACCAAAAAAAAAAAAAACAAAGAGAAAAATGAAAATGATGTAATTCCCTGTATACCATATATTATATTGGGGGTGTGGTTTTAATGGTTTCTTAAATATTTACCTATCAATAAATATTATTGTTTTAATCATAAGATATTGATCAATTAGTTATACTAAATTGAATAATTAACCACACAAATTAATGATGAATAATGAAATAAGATTCTTATAACGTCACGTTATCAAATTTCTATATTTATTAAGTAACCATAATCTAAACGCAATCATTGAAAACTTATTTATTATATTTGATATGCATATATGTCCTCTTCGATAAAATCTTTGATCCAGTTAAATTCAACTTTCATAAAACTTGACATGAATCGATTTCCAGACAATCTTATTTTTGACTTTTATATTTTTTATTTAAATTATTTGTTGAAACTTCAAACCTAATTACTGATATTAACGTAAGGCTTATTACAGTGACACCCCTCGTGTTTTATTGAAATTACAGTGACACTCCTTTGACCGAATTTAATAACAGCAACACCCTCTATCTGAAACTTTGTTAAATTTTGGTGAGAAATGTCAAAATTACCCCTGTGTTAAATTTGCTTGCTTTCTTTTTATTTGATTTTTTTAATAAAAAATTGTGTTAGATGTGTTTTAATATTTTTTTAAAGAGTGAACATAAAATATGTTAACAAAAGTGAATGCGTTTAATTTTTTTTATTATATTTTTTGTCATTAATGTTTTAAGTTTAATTTAAACCATTTTTGTTTCATTAGGATAAAATTGTCCAATTTAATTTATTCTTTCAATTTAATTTATTTTCATTATAATATAATTGGTCTTAATAATGCACCACATATCAAATGGTTTTTAATTTAATACGCTAATTTAGTGGATGGAGAACATTACTAAAACAAAGGAGTTTTAGAAAAAAAATTTTGAAAAAATATTTGTTTTTATTAGAGTGAAAATTATAGTTATAAATGTGTAAAAATTAACTAAACTCATTTTTTGATACTAAATAAGGGTATAAATGTCTTTTCTAATATTATGTACGACTTAAAAACATTTTTTGATAAATAGAGGGACATTTTTGTAAATTTTTTAAAAATTTAACAGTCAAGATTTATAGTCAACTCACAGTCAACTAATAGAGGAGTTGTCTATGTAATTTTTATAAAAAGTCGAGGGGTGTTGATATAATTAGTGTTGATCAAGGTGGTGTCTATGTTATTTTAACAAAATACAGCAAGTATCAGTGTAATAATACCATTAACGTAATAAACGAACCACAACAGTTCACGAAATGTTAACTCGTATATATATATATATATATATACACACATATATATTGTTTTTTTTAAGGTAAGAGTATATATATTTATTAGTTAGCGCGTAAAACTGAAAGACAAATTAACAAAAAAAAAAAAGGAGAAAATGCTGATTAAGTAAAAATGAGGAATCATGCATGGTAATTACCAAAAATATTGGAACTCCAAATAAAAAAATTGCAATTAATTCAATCACAACACAGCATTCACAAATACCTTTCCTTTGGACTAGTACCAGTATTGTAACAATTGTCATACTTCAGGTAGTCAATTCCCTAACGTAAAAAACATTAGGCATTATTAACTAAAGTAATCATAGGGGATGCAAGTAAATGAATAATAATTAATAAACTGTAATATTTGGATTAGGTACTCCTCATGACTAATAAGTAATGGAATGCATATTTAGCAGGGAAAAAAAAAAGAAGAAACGGAATGCATATATACCCATGAAGCAAAAGTTTTTGCATCTTGCTCCTCGTGGCCTAGTGAGCCAGGCATGGTTTTGCTACAAGTTTGAGTTCTACACAAAACATAAATGGAAATATATTAGTATTGTTATTAGTTCTATAAATATATCCATATAAATTAATTACACTTTCTCATGTGTGATCATTATACTTAAAATTGCATTCTGACACTCTCTTTTTCACCATCTTTATTTATTATTCGACACGTATACTTTACTATTATAATATATTATTATTTAAATAAAAAATGAAATAATTAAGTGCACACATCAAACGATAAATAACAGAGAATGACAAAAAAAATAATAAAAAAAATAATACTAGCATTTCTCTCTGACCATCTCATGTTAGCAACAAATATATTTACCCAGCATCAGAGTAAATCCCAAGCTTTAGCCCTTTACTGTGGACATAATCCGCCAAAGCCTTGATTCCCGATGGGAAAGTAGAAGATTTTGGAACCAAATTTCCCTGTGTGCCACGTATAAATAAAACATTAGTGAATAAATTATTTGTTTGGTTAGAATAAAAAAAAGGACTTTATATCCTTTTTTTTCGTGTTGCTGAACAGGAAACATTGTATTCAACAAACAATGGTAAACATTAATATAGTTTAGGATTACTTATAAAAATTCTTTCGGAATTATGATGCTTATAACGTTTTGCTCTTTAAATTTTAAAACGTAATAACCGTTCATTATAAAGTATAAAACGTTATCAAAAAATTTCTTTTTATTAAGTTGTTGACAAAAATGACACGTGTCACGTATATAATAGTTGTGTAAATAATATTGTGCACAATTAGTCTTTTGCCCACCGGCCCACCTAATTCCTTTGAACAAAAATTCTGATTTGCATTAAGAATAATAATTAAAAAAAAAAAAACCAGAATCTTCTTCCCCTAAGAGCATTTATGTTTAACGGATAGGAGAGAGTAGACAGAGAAGGATAGACTAAGAGAGAGAGTTTCTTCTCTCTCTCTTTTTCCAAGGAATTTTAATGTTTTAAATATTTAATTAGTTTTAGCCGTTTAGTTTTCTCTAATACAAGCTTTTAGTGCCATCAGGAAAAAAATACAGGTTTTTAAAATCTTTTGAGGCAATTAAGAGCTTTAAGTTATTGTTTAAAATCTTAATTTCTGAAATACCCTCCAATAATGCGCCACAAGTCAATCTTAAGTTAATTTCCGTTAGAAACCCTAATAGAAGGGCTGTTTTGGTTAACGCTTCATACTTCGGTGGAGAATGGTTATTACGTTTTAAAAATTAATGGGCAAAATGTTACAAAGATCATAGTTTAGAAGAATTTTTGTAATTAATTTTATAATTTACTTGGTGCATGTAGCCGATGGTAAGTTCATCTCATTTTGAATTTACAATCCAAATAACTCAAGTCAACAGAAAGAATTAAACTCAAATAGCCTCGTTTAACTCATCCGTTTAAATTTTATTAATTTGAACTTTTTCATTTAAAATTAAAAAATTTAAACTGTATGGTTAAACTTGTAATTTAAACTAATATTTGGAACATGTGTAGTTAAAGTTAAAATCTAAATTGCGAATAAAATCAAAACTTATGTATGATAGGTGAGAATAGCAAAGAGAATGAGCTTGTTTTTATTGTTCAAAAATAGTTTAAACAGTTGAAGTGAAGAACATAATTAAATTATAAGTTAGACACTTTAATTGAGTTTGAAGAGAAATATAATTCAGAATGTGTGTTTATCAAATATAAACATGAAATGGATGTTTGGTTAGAGGATTCAAACCATGATTTGAATCATAATTTATAATTCGCTACAGTGTTTTCTCTCATAAGAAATACACGTAAATCAAAAATAATTCTAATCACGTGATTCTAATTCATGAACCAAACGTCTCAGAAATTAATTCACAATTCAAATTGAGTTGAGTTAAATCGAACCAACGAAACAAATAGGTCAAGAGGTAGCGGAGATATATCTCAGAAATTAATTCACAATTCAAATTGAGTTGAGTTAAATCGAACCAATGAAACAAAGAGGTCAAGAGGCAGTGGAGATATTCCCAGAATCCTTTTATGGCCAGTCAGAGGAAGACAGGCACAATGGTTGGTCGTGGCCCAATTTTCTACTCTTTAAATTATGGCTACAAGTGATAACGTGGTAGTTGATCTTATAATAGATGATAGTTGGTAAACATTATCCAATATATATATAATTTAATGTGCATAAATTGCATTCCACCTATGGAAAATAATGAAAGTCTACTATGACACGATTGGGGCCTACAAGATTAGGTAAATAAGTGCGTTTCGCTAGTGTCTTTTAAGAACATGACTTTAATTGAATGCATATGACGTAGAAGCGACGCAACCATCAATAGAATAGGTGTAATTATATTTAACCTATTCAAATTTTTAATTCTAAATTCTTACGATTAAAAATTTTTAAAAAATATCACATTTAATTTTTTTATTACAATTAAAATTTTTTAAAAAATTTCACAACTCAGTTGAATTAAAAACTTAAATTTGTGAAATAAACAAGACCGGTCCTTAAACGTCATCCAAAATTAGAATCGATAATTTGTCTCAAATACTATCCATCTTTAATCGGCACAAACTTGGCTTTGGTAGCAATTGATGCAGGAATAACACAATGTCACAACCATTCATTAGAAAAGTTACAGTAACAGATGCTCAATAAAACCTTTTAAACACCACCCAGAACAGACTCCATAATTCACACTAAAAATTACGGGTTCAAATTCTTTAAGGCCTAGGCCTATAAGCTCTAAACCAAGTTAATCAAATTGTGTGGGGTTTTTTTTTTTTTTTTTTTTTTTTTTTTTTTTTTTTTTTTTCAATTTCAAATATGAATTAAACACCTACCTAGCGTTAAAAACATGCTATTTAAATTTAACCTTGTACATTTCTGTTAGAAATAAACACCTAAACGAGGGATCAAGTTGCACAATTAAGAAATTTCCAAAGAAGTAAACAATAAAACGTACCTTAGAGTCTCTGTTAAGTTCGGCCCAGCAATCATCTGAACATATGTTGACTATTAGTTTGAGTACTCTAGTGGGCAGTAATGAATACCTTATAACTAGGCTGTAAATGGTCACTTATAATAATGAAATAAATATTATGAAGTTAAGTTTTAGGAAAGATATACCTAAATTTATATACTGGTATCCTACGGCAGCAAGTCCAGTAGACACCATTGCATCCGCTGACATATACGTACAATATATTGCACATTAGCAGTACTTGATAATTCCCCGCATACGATTCAGTTGAAAATTAAAGTGACGTTTAATTTATAGATTTAAAATTATAATGATTTTAATTTTTTAAATTTAAATTTTTTATGAGAAAAAAATACTATAACAGAACTAAAAATTATGATTTTAAATCAGGTAAAACTTTTAAAATAAACGTCACCTAACTAAAGTTACCTGTTTCTCTAATCAGTTTTTCTTCAATGTTGCATTGGAAGTGATTCCAACTATTCCATCTGATCATGATCAGTAATAAAGAACTGAGTTGTAAGCACAACAAGAACTTTGTCTTAAAAAACCAAATGTTATATTAGTGTGCTCAGTACTCTCATGGTCACGGTAAATCCTAGCACATAGAATGCGTACAGGACAACCAAATATATAAAAATTATATCTTATTTTTTTAAATGTTTAATTGATTTATTGTTTAACTATATTGAAAAGGCCGATAAACCACGGATCTTACCCAATGATCTAATTAGGTAGCTCATAATCAATTTCCAACTAATATTTGACTTTTTTGAATTCAAAAACTATATATAAACACACATACATATATACACATATATCTAACGCATCCGTGAACTTCAACAAGAGATAGCAATGGATCTCATCATGTGTATATACATATATCTAAGAATTCTTTTTTTTTTACCCCAAATATCTTGATTTTTGACAATTTGTCCACTGAACTTTTAATTTTAACATTTCATCCCATCAACTTGTAAAGAGAAATGAATAAAACTAACGACCGCCTCACCTCAGACATAAAATTCAGAAATTTCAATTTAAACCCTAATACAAATCACTCAAATCTCCAAATCAACTTCTAAATCTGACTCAAAAAAAGTGACACATTGTAACAATATAACTGGCTAGTTGAGAGAGTAAACTGTCAAATTCAAAAGTTAAAGGGACAAGTTATCGAAACTTGAAGAGCTCAGGGCCAAAGTGCTACAAAACTATATGTATGCATGTGCCTGTTTGTACATAAATGCATATATATATATAAATATACATATAGACATGCATAGGATGATAAGGAAGAAACTAATTCAAATATTAATTAAGCGGATCGTGAAATAATTAATTACCCCATGGGAGGTGTTAGACCAATTCCATTTGCGAACAGATTCCTGCGGAGCTCCCCCTTAACCTGACGAGTAGCTGCTGCATCCGACAGCAACAGGAATAAGATGCACAAACCTAACCCTACCACCGTCATAATCTGTGAAATCGAGGAAACAAAAAGACTTTGGTGGAAAGTTTTGTAGAACCGGAGAATTAGTATATTTTTCTTTTTTTTGAGAGAGAGAGAGAGAGAGAGAGAGCGTGGAGTATGGGTTTAACTTAGCTAGATGTCATCGAGCTAGCTTAAAGTTAATCAGCATTCAGCAAGCTGGACAAACCACCAATCCAAATACCATTATTTTGTTTCTTTTTTTTTTTTCGTATTAGTATATATTATTTTGTATTTGCTTCTTGTTTTTTTTTTTTTTTTTTTTTTTTTTTTTTTTTTTTTTTTTTGGCAAAATTATCAATATTCTAATTAACAATGCGTCTGTTTTTTTCTCTGTCCTGTCACTTTCACGTGCATATATATAGCACAAATTACATATATATGTGTGGTTTTAATATTTACACATCAATAATATTATTATTTTAACTGTCAATTATTAATTCGACAATTGTAATAAATTAGATAATTGAACAAAATTTTTTTTTGACAATTAACAAAATTAAATTCTTATTACACGATAACATTAAATTTTTATATTTAATGAGTAAATACCACAGAATATATATGGCCATACGTATGTGTATTCGAAATTTCTAAGCAACATATAAAGGCAATGTATAGATAATTAATAATCTAGTATATGCTGTGATAATGGGACACTAATACATGGGCATATGGAGTTGTTTTGGTTTGGGAAGGGACGCAAATGCTCTTGCTGGGATGTCTCATTGGTGATCACTCTTTTGTCTCATATTGCGTCGGCAATAGGAGGTGCATCTTGTCGTATGGTCTATGCGCAGGCCGCAGCTGTCAATCGATTAGTTACATGGTTTTAATTTGATCGAGAACGTACGTCAACATCCGCCTGATTCACGTCCAAACATTAAAATAATAGGAGATTTCTTTGTACTGTATACTAATAAGTCATATTTTTTTAACTGTTAAATTTAAATATTTTTTAATTTTTATGTGATTTTATATAAATTTAACAGATAAAAAATCCAATCTACTAATATATTATCGTACTAAAAACAGTCCTTATTTTTAAAAACAGAAATAACAAAAAAAAAAGAGAGAGAGAACATTACTAAAAAAAATGTTTTTGCTATATATATTAGTTATATTATACATATACTAAAAGAGAGGACGGATTCATTGTTCATGCTACAGTGCTATGAATAGTGTGATTCTGTTTTTACCCCTACAAATTTGTTCAGATGTTATTTTAATTTCGGTTATGTCCTATTAGACGTTAAATTACTAATTTGCCCTTTAGATCATTTTATTGTGTTTTGATTTGTTAAGACCGTTTTGGTCATTTCAATTCAGCCTGAGTGTTTTTGTTTTTGTGTTTTTCATTTGCGTCATTCTACAACCTTCTGGATATTATCTTTCTTTCTTCGTTTCTGGACCCATTTTTTTCTCTTCCGTTCGTTTCTTTCTGCTTTGTTTCTGTTTCTTCTATATATATTTCCCAATTACTTTAGCGTTATGACACTTGTTTTTTTTTTTTTTTTTTTCTTTTTCTTTTGTTGATGTAGCAACTTTTCTCTCTTCCGTTTGTTTATTTTTGCAATATTTAAGATCAGTTTTTTTTTTTCCATTTCTGGAACATATTTCTTTGGGCCTGTTTATTTGTGTTTTCATTTTCATTTTTTACGGTTTTCAAAGCAAAAAAATGAAAACGGGTGTTAAAAACGTGTTTGGTGTAAATTTTTTTAAAAAACAAAACCAAAAACGTTTTTATCTTTTTGTGGAAATCAGAAAACGAAAAAAGGTGTTTTTATTTTCTCGTTTTCGTTTTCTGTTTTCTGAAAACGGATTTCACTTTTTT